CTCCTTGCTTATTCTTCAGGGCACTTTTCACTGGAGACTTGCTCCACTCCCTACTCTTTGGTATACACCCGTATTCTATATAGTTTCACCCTTACCCAAAAGCCAATCATCTCCAAGATAAAACAATGGCCCACATATCTGTCCCTCCCCTCCCACGTTGCCCCTACCAGTGAACATATACGAACACCATGGACTTATTTCTTGTTCTGGATTCAGTTTTGGGTTATTAGAATCCAAAAAAGGAAGTGTTATGCCACACACTGCTTTGCAAATATCAGGATATGCTTGTGTGGTGTGCTTATAACCACAGCTATTCTCTGAAACGGCATCTTTTTACACAGAATACAGGGTGTCAAAGATAGGTGGCAGGAAACAGAGGCTAGACTATATCTTTATTTTATTTAAAGGAAAAGAAATTAGGCTGGGCCCTGTCAGATGGGAAATCTTAAGAACATGGGAAAAAAACAAAAATATGGATGTCTGGCAGACTTTTAAAATAACTATCCCCAGAAGATCCTGTGAGGCAAGTACATCGATTCTAAATTTATTAAGACATCGCAGGAGAACATAAAAAGATTATACTAGTGTAGAGGGCACCAATCATACAACTGTAACCAGGAGATAATAGTCACTGTCCCCCTCAGAGGAGAAATTCTAAATGGAAATCATGTTTCTTGGTCCCTTAACTAAAAAGAAATTAAACTATGTGTTTCTTTATCAGCATTTTTAGGAGACAAAGACAGGATAAGGGTCAGCTGGAGGTGATGAGAAACAGTTACCAAAAGTAGAAGGCATTTCTAGAGGTGTCTGGGAAGGGCTGCAAATAGATGGAAAACTAGGCCAGTCAATCCCAGTCATTCATTCATAATGACCCAGGCGGATGGATCTTCAGCCCTCCATAGGAAGTAAGGAAGTTAAAAAGTTCAAAATACTAATCAAATTCTTCCTCTGAAATCAATTTCTAAGGAATTAGAAGAGAACACTGGCAAAAAAATTTCAGTTATAACATTACACAGAGTTGGGGCTTTCGAGACTGTGACGCCTTATTACAACCAGGAATTGAAACTGTCGCCCTGTGCAGGTTCAGCTTTCCTAGTACCTTCCACCTAGCAGACAAACTTTTCTCATCGGCAGTGGTCCCTGAGCAAAGACCAAGTTCCTTGCCAGTAGGAGTCACGATCGATACAGCTTTGCTTGTAGGTAACAGTTAGAACCCTGGATACCTTTAAGATCCTCTAGTCTGGTGCTGATGAAACAAACTTCCTGTGACATTGGAAATGCTCTATGCCTGTGCTGTATAGGGTAAGCCACAGGATGCTATTGGGCACTCAAAATGCAGTGAGTGGATCTGAAGAACGGAGTTTTCAATTTTATTTCATTATAAAATTTAACGCATGTGGCTTGTTGTTTAGTGCCACTGAGTTGGTTCCAACTTATAGCGACCATGTAATAGGGTGTTTCCAAAGGAGTGGCTAGTGGGTTTGAATCGCCAGCTTTTCTGTTAGCAGTCTAGTCCAGTGCTTATCCTACAGCTCCACACCAGGACTCCATGTGGTTCGTGGGTTCATATTCAACAGCACAGCTCTAGACCAATGATTGCAAATCGAATGCTAACGGGAGTCATGCAAACTCAAGCCTGAGACACACCAAATGGGGAAGCTTCAGTTGACTTACTGTCTAGGAACCTCAACACAGTGTTGCTTTAATAGTCTTTTTCAAATAAAGTCGAAAATCTGGATTGATGTCCAATTTTTAAACGTTGACAAGTACATTTAAAGAACTCAAATCACTTTGTGGGAAGAGCAACGTATGTAGACAAATCTTTGTCAGTTGTTTAACCTAGACCAATCTCCAGCTTGAAGATGACCAGTCTACTCAAGTCATTGGTTAGTAGCAGACCAAAGACTGAAACACAGACCTTTGGAGTCTCCTAATATTCATTCCACTGAGGATGACATTTAATGTTTAGGGACAAAAACACCTCTGTCAGAAACTACTGAATCCCATGGCAGATACCTTATGAATACTGTTGTTTTCAGACCCAGCTACAGTGACATGTTGGGCCTTCCTTATGGGCAAAGCTTTGTATTAGAAGGCAGGAGAACACAAAATAGAAATACTCTCAGCTCTCAAAGAGTTTATAGTTTATGAGGGAGACACACATGAAGTCAGGCTTGTGATAATAAACACAAATTACCTGCACACAAACCCAAAGGCACTGGCAACTGGCAGAGGAAAGGAGGGAAGAAATCTTAGTTGATGGGCAAAAGTTGGCCAAATGTGGAGGGGTAAAAGCTGGTCAATGGGTGGATATTATGGATTATGATGACAAGAATATCATTATTCCAGGAAATTAAAGGGGACTGGGAGGAAATGATGGCTCCTCCTTTTATCTTTGAGGCCTTTTTAAGAATAATTGCTGGCTTCTCCTGGGTATAACTTCTAAATGTCCTGGGCCTTCTTTTATCTATATCCTCTTACCAGGTAGTCTATTAGGGGTCTTCAAAAAGTTCATGGAAAAATCAGATTAAAAAATAACGGACCAAGACTCAATGGGAATACATGCTCTGATTGGTGACCACGCTCGTCACCGATAATGGGAAGTGAGGGAAAAACAGCAATGAAGCTGCGAGCTAAGCCCTACAATGTTCAATAGACTCCTGTGAACCCAGGTGGAGACACGGTTGGCCAGCAGTGTGGCAAGACCTGGGGACTTTTGGGCCCAGAGTTAGTGACATAGCCACAGAGGACTAGAGTAAAGAGTGAAGCGTCCAGCTGATAAGAAGAGAGGGCATATGCACAAGAACACCCACACTTGTAGATAATACCCACTTGACCTGGCTTCAGTGACTGGATGATCAGAGCTCAACCAGAAGAAAGAAGAAGAAAAAAAAAGAGTACTCTGATACAATTTGATGAACTTGACCTACACCTAAGGATGCAGTAGCTCAAAAGAGGGAACAAATCCTTACAGCAAGGATCCTTCCTACCCCCTCCATACAGAGTAGACAGGGATGGGCAACTTGGACATTGGCTACCCAAAATGAGGAGGGAGGGGCGCTACAAAGGCAAGAAGTGACTGGTTTACAAGCTTTTAAGAGGGAACCTAGATTCAGAGGGCATGAAGGAAGGTAGAATCTCCACTGAGTAGTATCCAATCTGTTTAGGCGGAGCTGATGAAATGAAATGTGGCTGGATCTCTTGTGATACAACAGTGAATAATTGTTATCAGGACTGATTGTGAGGATTGGAAATGTAAAGGTAGACGTTTTGTAGCAAGGAGGACAGTGATTAACTTTTGAGTCTAGGAACAGATGTCCGCGGGACCATCAAGGGAGAAGAGCAGAGAGCGGGCCCCTACCCAAAGAAGCAGTGATGCCTGAGATGGAGGCAGAGACGATGACCTGGAGAGATGGAGCAGCTGGGGACTTTTGACCCAGAGAGGGAGAAGGGCTGTGTGCTTGTAGGGTATACCCTTTGGTTGGTTGATGATGCATGGAGGGGATTGTAACCATGGCAATGAAATGATATACGATAGAATGAACGTAAAACTAATGTTCTCCCATGTAAACTATCCCATAATTCACAATAAAACATTAAAAAAAAGATAATGGAAATTTCCACACATGTTTTGAGGCCCCCCCTAATCTATTAACCCCAACTATGACGTTACCACTGGTTTGCACATCTTCATTTGAATGAATAATAAACTTTTCAAACTTACTATGTTCAAAAGAGAATTGATGGTATTCCTTTAGGAATCGTTCTCCCTCTGGTCTTGCCCATTAGAAGCCATTCTTGGTATCTCTTGGTCCCACACACCATATATCCAATTCAGCAGCAAGTCTTGCAAGCTCTACCTCCAAAGTATATTCTGAATCGAATTCTATCCATTTCCACTGTGGCCACGCTCATCAAAAACCAGTTAGCATCTTCCCCTTGGCCTACATCAGTAACTTCTCAATAGACGGGCCTGCTCCCAATCTTCTCTATCCAGTAGCCAGTTATTTAATATCCAACCTCCTATCATGGCCTAAAAAGCCCTGATTCCTCAGGCCCTGCTGTTGTTAAGTTTCGTTGAGTCGATTCCCAACCATGGTGTAGGGTTTCCAAGGAGCAGCTAGTGAGTTTGAACCACCGACCGTGCAGTTCAAACGACTTTGCAGTCTGACGCATTAGCCCACAGCGCCACACCAAGAGTCTTACTACTTCTCCCAAACTCACTCTTCCCTTTATTAGAACTTTTCAGTTCATCCCGTAACTTCTCTTGGATCTCAAAAGCCTCCTGCTATGAACAGGACTCCTGGTGCCGTGCTGTAGGATCAGCACTGGTCTGTGAATCACAAGGTCGACAGTTCAAACCCACCAGCTGCTCCTCGGAAACAGCTTGACAATACTTAACAACATGAACAGATGGCTTAGAAAAATCTCATTGGATTTAGAGATTCTGTCATTCGACCTGATAATATTGTCCTTAAAACATTTCTCATTCGCTGATACTTTCTTTATTGACTTGTTAACCCTCCCCTGCACTCGGATGTCAAGTCATGGAGCAAGGCCTCTGTCTTAATCCCAAATTTGTATACCGAGGGAATTATGAAGCTGGTTTTCACTGTCCTAGAACGTTTGCGTTCCTCGACCCGGCCTCCTTGAGTCAGCCTTCCCCAGCCAGACGCCTGGGAAGAATGGAACTAACAAACTGCCCCTACTATCTCCCACTCACATTCGGAAATCCAAGATTCACACTTAAACGGGCCCCAGACCCGCATCTCAGCGTTTCCAAACCAGGCGTCCCTTTCTGCAGAAGGTCTGCTTCCCTGCGGCAGGCTGCCAAGGCCAGTGGCTAAGACACCAGGCTGCCCTCGCGAGGCTGGGGGGGGTCACACAAGGGCGTCTCCTAGCAACGCAGCGCCCCCTACCCCCATCCTTACCCTTGGGGAGCCAACCCCTTCCCCAGTCGCCCGCGCCTGGAGTCGGCGTCTCCAGCCCCCTACACTCACTCTGCGTCAGTCCTGCCAGCCCCCACCCACAGAAGCGCGGTCGACCCCGCAGGCTGAGGAGGCGGTGCCGGGGAGCCGGCGGAGCGGCTGCCGAAGAGCAGGTCCGGTAGGTGAGACCGGACCAAACCACCGGGCAGACCCTTGTGGGACCATTAGTCTCAAAGCGGGGGTAGTCTTGAGTCTCCATGAAATTCAAACTCTCAACTCCACCCTCCGCTGCCTACCCAACAATATAACCAAACGTTTCCTCTTCCTATTTTCCTTTTACCCTTCGCTAGCTTTATTTCCTCCCACCCTAGCTAACACAATGGTCCAGTCCAGCTCCTCCTATTCCTCTCTCCGGGTCGCTCTTTGCCCTTACTTGGCGACGGCTTCGTACGTCCTTGCATACGTCATGACGCACTATTCCACCCAGTCCCTCTCAGCCCTTCTCCCTCCCGTTCTCCCTCCTGGAGCGGGCGGCCTGCGGGGTTACCGGAAGTGATGAAGCAGGAGGCGATGGAGGGGGCGGGGTTTCAGGGCGGCTGCCGCCGGTGGGCCGCAGATGAAGAGGAGGCGGCGGCAGTGGTGGAAGAAGAGGAGGCGGTGGCGGGGTTAGGGAGCCTGGAAACGCAAGTGGGGATGGTAGGTGGTTTGGACCCGCCGGGCCGCCGTCGTTTCCAGAAACGGTCTGACCGGAGGAACCTCTGGAGCAGCTGTGAGTTTGGTGGGGGGAGGGAGTAAGTGAGGAAAGAGGGGCGTTAAGAGATGAAGGGGCAGGGGTTGGGTACCTGGGAAATTGGAGAGGTCTGAGCGGGCGGTGGAAATGAGCGCCTGGTCTGAACTGTCCCTCTGGAAGAAGGGACTGTGACGGGAGCCTGTGGCGTGTCAGCCGCAGGGCTCCGAAAACTTACCTACTGTCTGTGACTCTCACCGCCAGCACCACTCAAGCCAGGACCTGGGGATCTGGGGCCGGAGCTGCCCTGCAGGAGGCGCAGACTCTGGTCCTAAGCCCCGGGTAAGAGCTGTGAGGTAGGAGCCCAGGGGGAGTGGGTGGTGAATCTCCAGCTCCTCCGCCTTCATCCCTCCCCACCCCCATCCATCCCTTTAATCATTAACAGCCTTGGAATTAGGGGCTCAGCTGAACCTGAAGGCCTCTCTGTGCACCTTTACTGTCGCCGATAGCCATCTATGCCTGAGGGATGGGGCTCGAGGCTTTGCCTGTGTCCTGTTTAGGAAGTGGGATGGGGTGACAAATGTGGGTTTTTTTCCGCTCTGCCTCGCCCCTCCACCTCCCCCATACACACCCCTCGTTCCCACTTCAATTCCCAGAGGTGGTGTGGCAGTCGTGGGTTTGTTGTTTTTATTTTGTTAATGGCACTTAGTACCTTGGTTACTTCTTTTGAAATTTCTGCTCAGCCTCTATCCCAGAGCTTTCCAGCAATCTTTGTTAATAGTTCATTCACAGGCGGTGTCACATCGGGAGTACCTCTCAACGCCTGGTAGCTCCCGAGGCGAACGAGCATTTTCTTCTATGAAGACTGGGTTTCCAAAGCCCTTGCAAGGATTCCTAAATGGCATCATCGCCCAGGAATCAAGGTCTCTTGCTCTAAATACTTTATGTGTGAGGAATTTACATGTTGTCAACTCTTTCCAAAATGGTTTGATGTTGGGCTAATTCTGGATCTCTGTGTTTCTCTCCACCCACACTTCATGATGCACTTCAGAGAACAGAAAATCCCATATTACTTTTTTGTTTCCACGGTTGGTCAAGAGCACTGTTATTTCTCCAGTTGTGTGTCTGGCACACACGTCTTCAGTGACACAATTCGCCTTGTGATGATTTCCATCCGATTCTGAATTTGTATATGTTGTTGGTAGATGCTGTCAGGAGGGTTCCAACTCATAGTGACCATATGTTCAACAGAACTCTGCCTGGTCCTGCTTGAGCCCATACTTGCAGCCACAGCGAAAGTCCATCTCACTGGTGGTCTTTCTCTTTCGTTTTTGGCTCACCTCTGTCTTTACCAAGCATAGGGTCCTTTTCAGGGATTGTTCCTTCCTGGTTCTGTGTCCAGAGTACGTGAGATGAATTGTTGTTACGTTCCATGGAGTCTGTTCTGACTCAGCGACCCTGTATAGGGTTTCTGAGGAACTGCTGGTGGGTTTGAACTGCCGACCTAGCGGCTCAAACCGACCTTACAGTCCAGTGCATTATCCTGCAGTGACACATCAGGGCTTCAGTTGGTCTTAAATGAGGTAGTGTAAATCTGTTTAGTTGTGTGAATCTGTTTAGTTGTGTTTCAAAGATGATTATAAACCAATAGGAGTCCTGGTGTGACACTATAGGATAACCACTGTACTGTTAACTGCAAGGTTAGTGGGTCAAACCCACCAGTAACTCCTTAGAAACCCTATGTAGGGTCACTATAGGTCAGAACTCTGGTAGCATAGCAGTTATGAGTTGGGCTGCTAACCTCAAGGTCAGCAGTGTGAAACTACCAACTGCTCTGCAGGAGAAAGATGAGGTTTTCTGCTTCTGCAAAAGATTTACAGCCTCAGAAACCTTATGCAGGGTCTGTATGAATCAGAACTGACCCCACGGCACACCACCACCATAGGTCAGAACAGGAGTCCTGGTATAGCGATGTAAGTTAAGTACGCAACCTCAAGATCAGTTTGAACCAGAAGGTTGGCAGTTAAAACTCACCAGCAGCTCCTCGGAAACCCTATACAGGGTTGCTATGAGTTGGAACCAACTTGACGGCACTAAACAACATCATCAATAGGTCAGAACTGACTTGATGGCACCTAACAACGTATAAACCAATAACAGGTGTGAAAATTTGTCTTAAGAAAATTAATGATGTTTGGAAAGATTTCCTTGTTAATATTTTCTTGGTTGAAAAATATATATATATTATCACCCAACTAGCACTCTTGTAGCCTGTCAGATTTCAGAGTAAAGGACAATGAGTCCAATTTGGGTGTTAGCATTTTCTTTAGAAGCCCTCCAGTTTCATCTAGAACTGTATTTTCTGAAGAACTCTGAAGAGAGAATGACCAAGTCTTAGGTGTTCCATGAGTAGGAGATGTGTCCATAGATCCTGCCCCCCTGTAACTGAACTGGGTATGCGTGGCAAGAATTACCGTTAGGTTCTGACACTGAAAGGGATCCAGGACTTCCAGGCCTGATGAAATAGAATATCTAATGTTTTATTTTGTTTTTGAACATTTTATTGTGGTTTAGGTGAAAGTTTACAGAGAAAATTAGTTTCCCATTCAACAATTTTTACACATTTTGTTTTGAATATTTAATGTTTTGTTAGTGCAAGTAATTGTGTTGAGATGTTTCATAGAAATACACCAAGAAAAAAAAAAAAACCTGACCACCAGTCTCATCTTAATTAATTAATTTGGATCGTCGTTTGCCATTGAATGTTGTTGTTAAATGCTGTTGAGTCGATTCTGAGTCATAACGACCCTGTATAGGGTTTCCAGGGAGTGACTGGTGGGCTTGAACAGTAAGCTCAAAATTCATTCATCCACTAAATATCCGTTGAGTGACTACTAAATGCTGTCCAGTGTTTGAGGTACTGGGTGTACAGAGGCAAGCCCACAAAAGGCCAGGCCCTCACTGAGCTCACATTGGAGGAGGCTGGGGACTGGAACGGAAATACAGTCAAAGAATGAAGTCAAGCAAATGGGAGCAGTGTACTCTGGAAAGTGTCTGACTCGGATTCAGTCAAGGAAAGACCTTTCTGAAGAGGTGACACTTAAACTGAACTCTAAGTAAAAAGGAGTCAGTCATCAAGAGATACAGGGGAAGTGCCTCCTAGGTTCTGGGAATAGCTAGTCAGAAACTGACAAGAATGAGGATCTGGGAACTGGAGAGAAAAAGGGTGTTGGGGGGCGGATGTGGAGACAAGCAGCCAAAGTTTAGTTGGCAATGGGGAGAGTGAAAAATAGATAAGGTCAGAAAGGGGGGATAGAGCTCAGAATGTTGTTGTTGTTGTTAAGTGCCGTTGAGTCGGTTCCGACCCATAGCGACCCTGTACAGGGTTTTCGAGGGTGTAATAGGTAGGCAAAATAAGAGTTAGCAGTGGAAGGGAAGAATGTGATTGTTGTTAAGTGCCTTTGAGTCGGTTCCAACTCCTAGCAACCCCGTATAGAGTTTTCAAGGAGCTGTTGATGAGTTTAAACTACCAACTTTGTGGTTCAGCCTGACCTTGCGACTCAGTGCTTTATTCCACAACGCCATAGCAGGACTCCTTTATAATTCTGTAGGCTTTCCTACAGTCTTAACTCTTAGGATTGTGCAGATTGTTGTTGTTAGCCTCTGACTCTTAGTGACCTTATATACAACAGACTACTGCCTGGTCCTGCCATCCTCAACAATAGTTGCTGCTTGAACCCATTGTTGCGGCCACAGTATCATTCTGTCTTTTTTGAGCATCTTCCTCTTTTTTCGATAACCCTCTATTTTACCAAGCATAAAGTCCTCCTTCTCCAGGAATTGGTCCTTCTTGATAAACATGTCCAAAGTTTGTAAGATGAAGCCTTGCCATCTTCCCTTTTAAGAAACATTCTTGTACTTTTTACAAAACAGGTTTGTTCGTTCTTCTGGCAGTCCATGTGTACATTCAGTATTCTTCACCAACACCATAATGCAAAGCATCAGTTCTTCACGCTTCCTTACTCAATGTCCAGCTTTCCCATGCACATAAAATACCATGGGTTGGGGCAGGTGCAATCTTAGTCTTCAAAGTTACATCTTTGCTTCTTAACTTGAAAGAGCTCTTTTGTGGCAGATTTGTCCAGTGCAGTGCATAGTTTAATTTCTTGACTGCTGCCTCTGCGATTGTGGATCTAAGCAAAATGAAGTCTTTGACAACTTTTTTTTTTTTTTTTTGACAACTTTGACAGTATTTTATCCATTTATCACGATGTGCTTATTGGCCCATTTTTGTTTTCTTTTTATTGAGATGTAATCCATATTGATGGCTGTAGTATTTGATCTTCATCAGTAAGTGCTTCAAGTCCTCTCCACTTTCTGCAAGTAAGTATGTCTCATATGCATATTACAGGTTGCGAGTGAGTCTTACT